CAAGAGATTCCTCGAAACCCAACTTTTCTTCGTATACAAATTATTATCCTCACGTCCAAATTGCCCTCACAGATTCTCCAATCAGAACTCGTGTAGAGAGCATGCTATGCAAGGACACAAACACGTACTCTGGGACGTTACGTTCGACGCTTTCACAGAGCCTACACATGAAGCTTGCTCCTATTCGGCAACGCAACTAGCCTATTCACCTTCGAGACCTCCACAACGTCAAGCTGACAGTAGTTATCTTCACGCTTCTAATCAACACACATACAAACAGCTCCATGACCACCGGTCTTGGTATCTGGGACTGTCGGACATCGGAACACCACAACATGTAACAGTATTCCAGGAAGTCAGATGCACAAAAGATGCATCCATGTGGAGGGAAGAGACAAAGACTTACCTAAACAGACATATGCCAGTGCGGCGGCAGACTGTGCTCAGCTGGTGAAAAAACGGAGTTGGGAATGCCTTGGCAACAATACAGTCATCCAGCCTATCGGCACAGATGGCTCTTCGAGGGTACCGAATCCGGTCGTGGTCCCGTGAAGCCTGTCGTCGGGTTACGAGATCATGCGAGGCAGGAAGAGGGACTGAAGAGCCATCAAGGCGCTGGATTGGCTGAGCCGCCCTTAGGACCCAAGTTTCCAGTGCCGACATGTTGTTGGTCGGCAAGGCCTGCATGTCGGCGAGCTGATTTGACCTGCCTTTGAACTGCTTCAATGGCGGGCATAGTCGAGGATTAGATGAATGCGACGGCCTCACTAGATGGGATGGGTAGACAGGTTTTCGGGACCTCGTCGGTTTGCTGACTTGTTCAGACTCGCGAAGTCGTTGGGAAGCTGGTTGTCTGGCTCCGAGTTGAAGAGGCCTCGAAGAGCCTCTTTCAGTCAGGCTTTGTGGGCAGATGAGACAAGCTGAAGCTGCCTGGTCAAGAGCCTCCAATTGCGTGTCTGTCTTTGGATTTCCGGAGGGAGACGAATCAGATGGCTTCAGGGGAAAGGCTCGTCGGCGATGGTGTAGACAGTGAATAGGCCGTGTGTCTTGATGGTCTAAAGCAGATGTACCGGAATGGAGGCTGCAACGAGTACGGGTATGGGTGTTGGATGAATAAGGATGAGTAGTGAAGGTGGATGAACAGCCGGAGAGTTTGGCTTCAGATGGTATATGAGTTTGTGGTGAACTCGTCATGCTTGGCTTCCAGTTTTGGCGCTCGGAAACAAGTGAACGCCGAAGACTGACGTTGCGTGTCTTTCGCATCAGTGGACCTCTGGAGGACGACAACTCGGTCGGGACCTCCGTCATGGTTGACCGCATATCACAGCCGATAGTACCAACTGTTAGTGAATCGGCCAAAGCAGCCAGAGACTGAAGTGTTGGTTGCGCTGTTGACGGAGCTGGTGGGGGTGACGAGAAAGCCCGACTCTGTCTAAGCACAGGAGCCTGGAGCGGTTGGATTTCATGAATACGGGACGAAACGGCCCGAGGCAGCGATGGACGGACTTCTGCTCGGCCACGGCCAAATTCGGCCCTGGAAATGATGAGATCTGACCTGGATTTGAGTCTGGAAGAGGGAGAAAGCATCCAGGAAATGTATGTCGACTATATCCATGTCTAATTTAAAGAAATTATGCAACCCATTTTGGACTATTCGTGATTCGCAGAGCATGAAACATTCACATATTCCTTTGCATCCTATATAGGCGATAATGATTAATAAGGACTCAATAGAATCAAAGGATAGGCTGGTTCACAAATTTTCCTGGAGTTTGGGGTACCATTTTTTAGATTTAATATCACGTCAACAACAGAAGAATGTAGCTTTGTTACTCTGGCTTAAGTGGGGGATTCAAAAAAGTAGGCTTTAAAACTATCCGCATAAGATAATGCAGGAAGGATTGTGAATTTTGCCACAATCAGACGAGTAGGACTAAAAATGCCAGTTAATTCATTTAGCCCGGCCGACAAAAGAGCTTCCTTGTCCCGGTTGAGGTGCAGGTTCGACTTGACCTATATCGCAGTCTACCTTGAATAAACAGAACATTTTGAGAGGCAGGGCCCACTGATACCAGTTTTTTAAAATACCGTATCAGTCCTATGCAACAGAAAGACATAAAAACTTGACGCACTCATTCCAAATATGAGTTATTTCTGGCATGACGCCGTGTATTTTAGTATATGCTTGCTAACCCATCAAAAATCCACTTTATCTACAATCGTACTGTAGAGAGATTTTTATAGTGAAAAGAATAGACTCGCATTTCCACATAAAAATCAGTTTTACAAACTGAACAACACTAGGGTGAAGATAGACTTATCGACAAAAATGGTGTAGTAAGAGTATAGCGACTATAGATCGCTTAGCATGTTTTAAGGACGAGTTTAGTTTTCATGCAATTAGATGAGTAGGCCTGACGATGCCGATGAATTTCACTTAGCCTTGCCTCCAAAAAGGCTATCTAATCCAAAAAGGACTGCAATTTCAGCCTCGGCCGGGTTTTACCACCAGGGATGACTAAATCTTTACTCCAGAATTATGTATATTAATAAAACTACTTATATAGAAAATGAGTAACGCCGTCGATTTAAAAGGCAAATACATATTTGCTTAATCGACAATAATGTAGGATTGGTGAGACCTGATCTGTTCGCCAAAAACGTTCGCACGTTGCATTATAATAACACAAAGTATAGGGAAAGTTTTAAGCACAAAGTTATACATATGATCAAATGTCAGTTTTGAAAACCTACTTATAAAGTGAAAAATACTAGAAATAGTCTGACCTCGTTTTCACATCAATATCGTGTTTTTAGGGAGACCTAGTTGGGGACATCTTTTATGAAGTCTTCTGTCATAGTATCTATGATAGTTTCTACCGTCTGACCGTGGACTCGATACATTTCTAAACGGTCTGACTCTATGAGGTAGTACTTCAGACAAGATGTGTTCTAATAGGTCGCCTTGACAACACGACCAGGCTGCGAAAATGATGTCAAGCTCAATGTATATAGCGAAAGAAGACCACAACTTAAAAAAGGCCACAGCATCTTGGTCCTCATACCTAAGATCAACACGTGTGGTTGGTTGACAACTTAAATAAAAACTCTTAAAGATGGTCAAGTAAAGTTAAATGAACAATTAAGATCTTCTAATAAATCCTTGAGTTCAGAACAAATATCAGTCCATGTAGAATCATAAGACAAATAGTGTTCTTTGTTGACAATCAGTTTTCTGTTAACCGAAATGAAAGGTATACTAAAAATTTAGAAATACGACGTATCACAGGAAGTGAGAGTGAAGTTGAAGCAGGACTCTTTCTCAAGTACTATATTTACCTTTGTCACATAAAGTGATGAAAGACTGTTTTTTTAAATGTTATCACAATGATATGAGTAGGCCTCAAGATGAGATAGAATTTAATTTAGCCGAAAAAATGTATTCTTATTCCGGACTGACTAGAG